CCACTCAGGCTGTGAATTGTCCCTTTGTCCAGCAGTTCCATGCTGTCTGTGCTCCCTGTCCTTTAGTCCCTTGGTATCTATCTTGGTTATCAGATCGACTGTTGGTGTTCCAATGTTTGTGTTCGAGTCCACCTTATTTTACTTAATAATGGCCTCAAAGTGCAAATATAGTGATATAGTGATGCTGGCATATTTTTATAATTGTTCTATTTTATTATCAGTGCTGTGATAATAGCACTCTTGCTGTGCCTAATTTATAAATTAAGCTTTATCTTAGCCATGTATGTATAGGAAAAAACAGTGTATACTGTACAGGGTTTGCTACTATTTGCAGTTTCAGACGTATACCGGGGGTCATAGAATGTATCCCCTGTGGATAAGGGGGATTAATGTAATTCTCATTCGGCACTAAGAACAGTGTCTACCACATGGTAAGCACTCAATAAAAATGTGTTGAGTGAGTAAAAAATGACTAAACGGGAAAATAAAATTCATTCAGTAAGAGTGTGTGTGTATAAATTTATCAGTTTTATATTATGGACGGTTGTGAAGGCAGAATCATGGAGAAAACCCAGATTATCATACAGATATGACTAGTTCATTCAAAAGACTTATTACCAACATAGACTTCCATGAAATTGAAGTGTTATCCTGTGGCTGTTTAAGTTGTTGAAACTAAAGATATTTATAACCATTGTGCTTTTAAGTTTATAGGCATAAATGTAGAGATCCAATTCTTAGTACATACCAAGCAAATGGAAGTCAGAGTCAGATCCAACCCAATGGGCCAGAGTTTCCCTTTATGTATTATAAACAATATCTTTATGGGTGTGATAAGGTTATACATTGCAAAAAGAGGCTGAAGTAAAATAGCTTATGTTTACTATCCTGCTAGTCTGGTGTAGAGGAAGTAATTTGCTTTCTTCCTTATTTTTAGTTTTATTTGTTGCAAGAATATTAAAATACAACAAAGGAAAATTTAAAAGCAGCAAATTATACTCACAATTGCACTGTTTGCTGTATTACTATTCATATATATTTAAAATGTTTTCTTCTACTCTGAATATCATTTTGGTGTATTACTGTTTTCATTAAGCATTTTCATTCTACCCTATAGTCTTCACAATTGCTGTTTTTTCAATAGCAGGATAAAATTCCATCTAGTTTGTATGCTACAGTTTGCATATTTACTCCCCAATATTGAACATACCTTTAATGATTGATTATTAAGAACTAATTTTTTCTAGATTTCTAGAAATCATTAAAGGGGAGATTTAGGATCAATGGAATGAAGGTATGGTGATGAAGAATGACATGTTTTCTGAGGAAAATAAGTAGACCATTTATGAAAGGAAATTCTGGACAATAAGGTTGAGAAAATAAGCCAAAACAAGACTCAGAGCTCAGCCAGCAATGGTGTGACTTCCAGCAAGAAAGACGGGTTCCAGTTTCCTTATTTGTCAGTTGGTAATTACAGCTAGGTTTTACTGTTGCACAAGGTTGTTATGGGGATAAAATCAGTCAAGATGATTCTGACATAGGCAGGCAGACATAAGCATTAAGGATTAGTAGAATATGAATTGGGATATACATTATGGTTTCAATAATAGAGGGAAAATACTGGAAGAAAACAGATTCAAATTAACTACACTTGCGTTACAGTGACAGGACTATGATCTCTGTCACCCACACAAACACATACAATTTTCTCTATATTCCAAATCATCACTGAAGAACATATATTAATTAAAAATGCATTTTATTCAAAAACATTAACTTAAATGCTGAGAAAATCAGAGTGAACATAAGAAACAAGGTCTGATTTCTCAAGGAGCTTACATTTTAGTAGGCAGAGACAGACACAAAACAATATAGATACGTAAGATAATTTTGGATAATTGCTACGGCAGTGATGTCACGACAGAGAAGGTGTTACTGTTAGATAGAGGGGTCGGGGAAGTCTTTATGAGGAGAGCAGAAACCTACTTGAGCAAAGACCTACATGACAAATAGATGCTACGACCTACATGCTGAGTTGGGGAAGAACGTTACAGGCAGTGGGACAGGCAGCTGCAAAGGCCATGAACAGAATGAGCTGGACATGTTCAAGGGGCAGAAGGAAAGTGAGTGTTGCTGGAACTGTGAGAGCAGGAGAGAGTGGTGGGAAGTGAGGTCAGAAAGATACACAAGGGCCAGATTGAAACTATGGTGAGGAAAGTGAATTTTTCTCTCAGTACAATGGCAAGACTTTGGAGTATTTTAAACAGAAAGATGAAACAATCTGTATTACATTGTTTAATATAGTATATATGTGTGCGTATGCACGTACATATATATATCTAACATGTGTATAGATACATATATCTATACACATACACATATATAATAAAATTTAACTGCTAGACGATAAAATGAACTCCATCATAATTTCATGCCTTTACGTGATGTGCTGAATTCTAATTCATGGGGAAAAATACGAAGTCATTGTATACTTAGACATGTGTGTTCTTTCAAGCATTAGGTATTTTAAAAATGAGGGAAGTTTGGTATCTCTCCAAGCTCTTACTAGTATGTAAGACAGTTTATAATATATTCAAATAACATTTATTGAGTTCTGCACAATAGGGTAAAGATAAACTGTTGATTGGAAACACCAATATTCTGAATGCCAATTCTGGTTCTCTGTTTAATTTGCTATATTACTTTCTTTTGCATTTTCTTTTTATCTTTATCCAAAAATACAAAGGATTGGTGGAGCATATGAAAAATAGATATTAAGGAGAAAATTAGCAAATGTTGAGCTGGGTAGATTTTACTATAGAGTATTTCAAAGTTAATATTTGTACTTCTCTTCCTGGCAGCACATATTTCTAAGAAATAATGAGCTGAGCTCTCTTGAGTGAACGAATCCCCAGCAGAGTGATTTTGGCAGTTAGAGAGGCACGTTAACTACTTTAGGCCTCAAAAGCTTCATCACTGACTTCATTATTCCTTTGGAGCACTCTGCTGAATCTCCTCCCAGAACTGTGGAAGCACAATGGAAAAGCAAAAGCAAGCCGTTTTCTTCCGGCCTTTCAGTGCCTGAAACAATAGACTTATGAAATACCGTGCACTTTCAATGCTGCCCCTGAAACTGGGACATTCCTTGTGAACACACGTATTAATGGGACTTTGATGTCAATTTTAAAGCGTCCATTCTGTCTTCAGTATCTGCGAAGACAAATACTTGTCTTAAACAGCATGAAGCATATTCCTGTCTCCAGCGAGGGCATTAGTAGCCACACAACCTTCTTTCTCTGGGATGAAGGACTGGCAGCTTTAACGCTATCTGTGTCAGAGAGAGAAACATAATCAACCTTGCTCCTTTCTCTCGTTGCCTTTTCATCCGAAACAAGGATTTTCAAAAGAAAAAGTCTATCAACGTGTTATTCTGCTTGGTCGGTCTTTGTTCTGTTTTTTTCAAATGATTATCATTTCTTAATCATTCAAAAAGAAGCATCAAAAAAGCAAAACCACTTTTGACAGTTCCCACTGGAATAAAAAAAGATATGACACCTTCCTCTACATTTTCATCCTCAAAAATGATCCCTTCTAAAAGAAAATGGTACAATTTTCAAAGTGATTTTCTGCCTCCTTTGATGTGGTCATTCATCAGTGACTTTCAACAGATGTTTCACATGGAGTCCATGTCAGGATCTTCAAGGGGATTCAGAAGAAATAGATGATACCCTTCAGACCCTGCCCTTGGGTGGCTTAGAGTCTTATTGTGTTAGGAAAAACAGATAGAATTCAAATTACTTAAAAATCGTTATAGGTAATATAGTGGTTTAAGAGGTCAGGCTCTTGAGTCAGCCAGCCTTCTGTTCCAATCCTGCCCTCATTCTTACCACTTTTCAGCTGTGACATACACCCTCTTGGAACCTCAAAATTCTCTGCAAAACAAAGATAATATTAGTAACCATCTTCTAGGGTTGCCATGAGCATGGATGAGATAATGAATCGTGCATATAAAGTATTTATCTTGGTGCCAGGACCCCAAAGAAATATTTAAAAAGCAGTAGCTATGTTTCTTGGTAAACACTGTTAAGGAGAATTATTATTAGGTAAAGCAAATTGTTAAGTGGCTCTTTGAGAATTATATTACACACTTATATTCACAAATTGTAAATATGTGTTATGTTTTCTTTTGTTCTTAATAGGCATTTTATATTGTTGTTTGGCCTACAATGTTGGTCTTCCAGAAGCAAAAATATTTTCTGGTCCTTCAAGTGAACAGTTTGGCTATGCGGTTCAACAGTTTATAAATCCAGAAGGCAACTGGTAAGAATATTCTCTTCTTTATGATTTCAATAAAAATACAAAATAAATTGCATATTTGACTCTAATTTCTTTTTCAAATTGGTGCATGGCTATACTATCAATGGATAGTCCTGAAATATTTGTATTAAGAACAATCTTTCTTTGAGAGTTGACAACCCTTCAGATTGTAATTAATGGATTAGTAATTAATGGGATGGTATACTTCTTTAAAAATCTGGATGAAAATTCTTCACTAAATATTCCATAGCAAATTCATAATACCAGTTTGACCCCTTAGGATATAGATATATAGGTAGGTAGATAGATAGATATGACAGATTTGACTTCTTTTCTTATCATGTAAACTGATATTCATTGAGGTTGGTAAATCATCACCTAGCTAATTTCTAGATGGTAGAATTACCATCTGGGCCATTTCTAGATGGTAGAATTGCTCCTAAAAATTTTCTGTCAGCAAGGTTTTGTCTCCTCACTTCATTATAAGTTATCCTTCCACTCCATGTGGTAAAGGGTTCTCACAAGGATCAATGCAAAATATGCAAAGGTGACTTTCTCTAGTGTATTTAGCACCTTTTATTTTTGCCTAAAAGTGCCCATGTTTTAGTGCCGTGTAATGGTTACATTTATAAACCATGGCCATTCTACTCAGGTAAAAATTAACCACTTTGATGGACATGAAACTATACATCCTCATTGCTGGTTTAAGTTTCCCATAATAATAATGCAAATACACTCAGGGGACTGAGATGATTCTGAAAGTTGTATTTAGGGTGAAGAGCTATGGCTCCTCTTCTGTCAGAGTTAATGCCCACTTATGGGCAGAGGTCCTGCCATTGAAACCTCATCTCCTTCTTGCTGCAGAAGGTTCCAGACTGTCCCCACTCACCCTGGAACTTCAGATCCCGGATATCTACCCTCTAGATCTCTTTCCAGTTATTAAATGGTCTGTTGTTGGCTTATCAAATAACTATAATTTATAACCCTTTTTCTGTGTGAACTTGATGCTCTCAACAATTGAATTCAAGAATTCAAATTATTCATGACAATTGAATTCAAAGAAAGATGTAGAATCCAAATCATCCACATGTTGGGGCATGCCTGTCTGTTTGACAAGGAAACAAAATGAAATCTTCACTAGAGAGGGTAGTGTGTCTCAGAAGGCATCTTAGAGGAGGTGAATCGTGAGGTGAGTTTTAAGAGGTAGAGATGGGCATTGACTAATGTGAGGAGACTTGAAAACAATGTGTGTTGGAGACAGCTTGTCAGTCATCTGGAAGAATAGGAACAGTCTGATAAGAAACCCAAAGATGAGCAATTCCTATAATCATTCGGGATATGAGAGGGAGTTGCATCTCTAACAATTATCAAATTATGTTTGGTAACCATATGCTGAGTTGGCTAGAATCATGATATGGTCAGTATATTTTGACCTTGGAGTCTAGCAGACGAAGTTGCTAACGACCCATAATTTTACATATCCAGCCCCACATCCTTCCCATGGACTCCCATGTCAAACAATCCATTCAACATTTCTACTTTAATGTAACAGAGAACACAAGTATCTGATTTTCAGCACCAGCTAATGAAACCAAAAATTCTGGACTCCTCTCATTTTCCCTCCTTCCCCATATCCTATCCATAAGCCAGTCCTGTTGACTCTGTCATCAAAATATCTATTAAACCTGGCCATTCCTCACTATCACCTGCTGCCACTGTGATGGAAGCCGATGCCAGCTCTTACAGGTGCTGCTGCAGGAGCTTCTCAGCCTGTCTCCTGCTTCCCTTCCTACCCCTCTTTATTCTGCTCTCTTCACTACAGACAGCATGAACTGTGAAAAACATGGCTCATTCCCTAGATTAAAACCACCTGTGGCTTTCCACCACAATGAGAATAAGTTAAAATTCCTTAAAGGACCCTCCATGATCCAGTATCAGCATCGGTCTGCCTTTCCCATATCATCTATTACCTGCTTCCCTTGTTTCCTGTGCACCAGGGACTATGTCTTCTATCTGTTCCTTGAACATACCAAGCTCATTCCTGCTTCAAAGCTTTTGCACACCCTTCTCTCCTGGCTGGAAGAGTCTCAAGATTGTCACTTAGCTGGCTGGTTCTCATCTTTCAGTCTCAGCTCAAAGGTCTCCTCCTGATAGACCTTACAGAACAAGCCTATTTATATAGCGCTTCATCACACCTCCTAGTCAGTCTAGCTGCATATGCCGATTTATTTTCTCTCCAGCCGTTGTCACTATCAGAAAGGGTCTGATTTGTTTGTATGTTCATTATCTGCCTTCTTCCTCTGTCTCTGAGTACAGGGACATAGTTTTATTCACTGGCGTGTTCTCAGCACCCAAAGTGGTGTCTGGCACCAAGTAGGGGGATCAATAATTATTTATTGAATGACTGAATGAAAGTTCTACTTCTAAATGTTTCATCCCAGGTAGTCTATAAGGTGAGCTATAGTAGACGGACCTAAGAAGTATGAGCTGAATGAGACCTTCAGATGAACTCCGGTGTTCTACTTCACAAGGGTGGCCTCACCGAGGACAACCTGGCACTGAGTTCGCGATTATTCTTTTTAAGTAACAGCTTTCCTGGGGCATAGTAAATCTAAGAGAAAGAACCACCATCAGTAATAGATTTTATTAAAAATAATAAGCCTATCAAGGATTGTAAGGGAGCTCAACCACTGGCCACACTGAAGGTTGGAAATTGCATTAGAGGAAAAGAGACAAAGAGTTGACAAGAACCCATCAGGCAGAGACCTGGGAAAGTGAGAGGCAGCCATCTCCTCTTCCTCTCACCAGGGACTCCCTCTAACCATTCAAGAACTTGTTAAAAGAAAGGCTATTAACAGTGTGTGGTGAGGTTCTGGTGCTGTTAGGGCGATATCAAGACCAGGGACATCAGACATTTCTAAATGCTGTCTTGATCTCATGACATTCCTGAAAGATGTATAAACACCAGATAATGGTTCTTGGGAACCAGGCACCACTCTATTAGTGGCTGGGCTAATGCTTTGAACTCTAGTATCGAGCTTTCTGGCAAGGTACAGCATTAAGCTTCAGCTCAAGGCCTTACTTCCCTGCAGCTTATATCTAACTACCACCTGATATGAGCATACTCCTCCACACAAGAGGAAGAGAAGGGAGAGTACCTGCCTCACCTGAGGGGCTGAATCATATGGAAGTGAGAAGCAGGAAGGAAAGAAAACAAAGCTTGCCAGGAGAGTCTGTCTGGGTCCTTTCACTGATCTGGGTTTATGAAGCAAAGAGGCAGAAGAGGCCAAGTCGTGGGCATGCCCTTCTAATCCACCGCAGGCTGGACACTACGTCAAGTGCAAAGTGTGCAAAACATAGATGTTGACTTTAAGGAGTGTGGCGTAGAGTCAATGAGAAGGTTTATATGCAGAGTAAGTAACCAAGAATGATATAGAAGACAAAACTAAGTGCTAACCTCTCGCAGTTAATGGCGTTTTTGTGTCCTTTTAGTGTCACTAGCTGTATCTTAATATTAAGAGCTCATTTTCTCTTTCCAAGGCCTGGGACCCTAGAGAGACAAGGTTTCCTCATGTCCTCCGTCATTAGCCCAGTCCTGCCAAGGTGCCTTGCCACAGAGGGCAGGACTGTGGCCAGGATCTAGGTGAGCGGGTTATTCCATTACAGTGCTAGAGGGGGCCACAGTTAGGACAGCAGCCTTCACAACTCTCAAGGAAAATCACAAGAAACTTGGAATCCAAAATTGCCTATTTGTTTTGACAATTGGCATTATGCCCTTCTCTGCTCCTAATTTATGACAATTGTACAGACATTATGGAAGTAGCAGATGTGAGAAGAACTGTTTAAACATTAACTTTCCTTCTGATACTAATCAAGTTAACTTTGGGCACAGAAAGTGTTATGAATACGAATTCCTTAAACTGTGAGTCTTTCCCCTTGGCTTTACACATATAAAATGTGTGTGCATGCATACACACACATATGCACGCCTTATTTTCTTTATGTTCTTACTGCTTGTTCTGAAGCTGCTATTTTGGTACCTTGTTCCTCTGCTTGCTTTGACATTTCTTTACAATCTGTGTATTTGAACCCCAACTCTATCTCTCAGCCTATTTCTTCCTTCTCTAGGCTCTAGTCTCAGTTTTCTTAAATCACACATCACTATTTTTAAAGGACAGTTTTGGCTCTTCCCTGTGTGCCGTGTTGCTAAGAATTTATAGGCATATTTTACATTGGGATCTACCACTTTTAACAAAATTATCTTGACTCTTTCGCTAGGTTTTTTTTTTATTATTATACTTTTATTACACCAGGGGCTTCTACTCTGGAAATAGTGGTGATATGCCTTTGATAATTCCTGGGACTTTTTTACAGTCTCAAGCAAGCTACATGATTTTAAAAGCAAGCTTACCTCCCAAGCTTAGTACCAGAGCAGCCCCTCTGGCTACAAGTAAAGTCGTGGTCTGTTCTCCCTTCTGTGTAGGCGGAGAGCCATCCCGCTTCGGAGTCCTCATTTTACACACAGGATGTTCAAATGCGGATGATGCAATCCTTATCACAAACAATCTACAAAGCATTGAGATATGTTTAAAATCATTTCCTGGAGCTTGTGGCGATATGCACTGTTTCTGTTTGTCTAATTTGAAGGCCTGTCCCAAGAACAGTATGAGCTCATTATATGACTCAAAAACCATAGAAAACTGCAATCACTTGTGTGACTAGGATTGACGAGGAGTTAAGGGTTTTTCCAGTTTTAGAAATGTATTTTCTTGTTCTAGAGAGGACTAGTGCTTTTTTTTCCCTAAGAAGAAAGGAAAAATATTAATATAATGAACGTGTATCATAGCTCAAAAAAACCCATCTATATGTGATCTTATAGCTTTAACTTTTTAATTAAGAAAAATTTTAATGAAGATCTAAGTGTGTTATAAATATAACAGATTGGCTTCCACAGATGTTTCTATAAGAGAATTTTAAATAAAAAATAAAGAAGAAACATTCAA